ATGAGCTGTTCCTCTATTCTTATGTGCAATATCTTGGGTATTTGAAGGGCTCTTTAGTGATCCCTTCCTCTAAGAAGCTCAAACAATTCCTGGTCTTTTATTAATCTGTCAGAGCAGGGGTTGCTTCTGAATTTATCTTAGTATTTCTGTCTGAAACAGCTGTGCAGCCTATGCTTCAAATTGCCAGCATTAAATCAACATAGTTTTCCTCCTCATTCTTCATCAATTTGTCATATAGATAAGCCCACTACCTGCACTAGCAATCTTCCATTATCCACTGTTCTTGCTGGTTTCTTCCATATACTCCCATCAACACCCACAGAGACTTTTTAGCCTCAGATATATTCTGTCTTTCTCTCTCTAGGTTTTTTAACTCCACTGCATAAGACAGTGTCTACAGATAGCTAATGACTCTAAAATTGAGCATGACATATGACTTACTTTGCCAGTGATATAGCTAGGTGATTTGGACTTTAATATCTTGAGGTAGTATAAAGGAAATTAAAAAAAATTATAAAGCTGATAAAAAGAAAAAATATCACAAGAAAAAGGCTTGTTGATGGTTTTTGTTATTTATGTAAACTCTAACATCCAAATTTCTTTTCTAATTGCTGAAACTGTATGCACTGAAAATGTATACATTTGAGGAATATAAAAAGAATATACTGTACCCTCCATTATGCACTGTGCAGAAAGTGTCCTTCATGATCAGATTTCTACCCCCTGAAATTTAATCTTCATTCAGATTCTTCTTTTTTCATTTATTTGCCTGTCTTTAAGTGTGCTTTTGTGACATCTGGATATGTAACCTCCATAACTAAGATGTGCTTATTTGCATTGTAAAAGAGTAAAGTGTTTCCAGTGCCAGTTTTATAATGAATACTATATTTAAAAGATCATGCCTCATTTTTCTGTGTGCTGTGTCGGCAGCAGTGTTGTAGTCTGTCCTGATATTTCACTGTATAAATTAGACAGCCAAGGAAGGGAGAAGGAGAGCAGCAGATACAGATTGAGTGACCTGTTCCATATCACAACACACGAGTTTGACAGCATGAGAAGCAGATTCCTAGCCCAGCCTACTAAATAAGGAGTCATCAGAAATGTAGTCCTGATTATTAGAAGGAGGTGAGGAGTTTGGAATTGTCTTGAATTTTATTTTTGTCCTTTTTGTGCCTCTCTACCAAAATAATTATAACTATATACAATTATAACTGTTATAACTATATACTACTTATTACAGTGGCTGTTGTAAACCTCTTTGAAATTTTTTCAGAAGCTAATGCTTCCAATTGTCATTCTGTGATGTTTTGCTAAAATAAAAAAAAAATTACTTTTTTCATAGAAAGAAAGACATTTCAATGGTTTCTGGTTTTCCTTCATTAGAGCTCAAGAACAAGTTGAAAAGGGGCATATGTTTTTCAATGTGTAACTTCCATGTATAAACATACTGGATGCTAAAAAAAGAACTGATAGACTTTATAAAAAGGAATAGATCTATTTGTATGGAGAAGGATTAGCAAAATAATCTAAGCACCTGAAGAAATAAACAATTAAGAATAGAAAAAATGGAGACTCCTTTTGGCAAGGTGTTTGCAAATAAATACTTTAAAGGAGGTGAATCCTGTTTCAAATCAGAGCAAAGCTGCTGGTTCCCTTTGCTTCCCTGTGGCTGCTGCAGGTGCCCCAGGCTTTTTCCTCCAGAGCAGCTGTGCTCCACTGACACAAATGGCACTTCCTGGGGACTACATCTTTAGTTACTGGTGCATCACAATGTGCAATAGGATATTTCAGTCATGCTTTCAAATGGCTGCTAAAACACAGCACTGCATAAGCAAATCACAACTGCATGCTTGCAGATAGAGGTGCCAGTGACACAGCTACCTATGTGTATTTCCCTTCAAAGAGGAGCTACTAGAAAAATTGTAGGGCAGCAAGGAAGTGTGTGAAAAAACCAGATGCTTAGTGATGTAGTCTTACTGCTGCCTGTCTTCCCATCTCCCTCCCAGCTTACTCTTTCAGCTCATGATCTCCAAAATACTGTGTTTTCATAGCTCAACTTATTTTTTGCCTCACATCACAGAAAATGCCTAATGATGTCAAATATGGAAAAGCTGATTCAAAGTATGCCTATGTCTTCAGAAAGGTCCCAGTTTTTACCTGCACAAAGTAAACATTTTGCTTAGGAGAGTGCAATATGATGTGCATTAACAGGATGCTTTGCCTATTCCCTAACAAAGATCTCTTAATTTAGAATTTGTGCATTAAAGCAGGGGTAAACCCAAATAAAGATTGTAAAGTTCACAGCCTGTTCTGCAGGATAGACATTAATAGGATAAAGTCAAAAGTTAATCAGTGTTGAGGAATTGTAGCATAATGTTCCTTTCTCTGTCCTAGTATCCCACAGTAAATACTAAAAAGGAATCACATTTAAGTTGACTTTGGTGCAGCATGTGTTCCTGGCTTCTCAGGACCTCATCCAGGACATGCAAAATTTATCTGCCAAGGAGTTTGCAGCTGTGGAGGTTCTTGATCTCAAAAGTGGTGCAGGAATCTTCACCTTGCTCTAAGGGCTCGTGTGTCAGGGTGGGATGCTGTTGAGTGAAGGTATTGAGATATCCAGTAAAGAATAATGTACACTTGGGGCAAGTAAACAGGGATTTAAAAGTTCTTCTGAGTGCTTAGAAACTGAGCCCCGCAACAGCCAGCAGCATCTGGTCCCAGGCTTTTTTATTTTCATAGCTTCATGCTTTGGTCATTAGCTTATTCTGCCCTTAAATACAGTTTGCAGCTTGTCAGGTTTTTCATTTCAGGAGTTAAGCTTGTCATCCTGGATCCATGAAGTTGTATCTCTGATATGAACAGGAGACTAGTAACACTTCAAACACCAGCATGTATTTCAGGCAGACCCTGTATACTCATAAAATGTTAGAATTTAGGGTCTTTCCAATGACAGCCATGACTGCTTTGTTTAATGTCAGGCTTCTGAAAGATCCTTTCCTAGCCAATGCTGTTTACCTCTCTGTCCCTTAAAGAGAAAGGAGACACAGATCTTGAATTTGAGTTACTCTCTCCAGCTGAAAATGTAGTATAGTACATTCTTTGCTGTATTTATTACAGAATATGTGGTACCTGCTTGAGTGTACCAAAATCACATACTTGAATTGCTTTTTTAGAAAATTGTTCATGACATTTGCCCAATGATTTACACTCAAAGCTTATTATTGCAACAGAATTTCAGTCCCATCTTGCATTCTCTACTATTTATTTTGTCATCAGAACTGTTAAAATTCATAATAAGTGATTTGGCACTCTGTTAGGCAGTTTATTTGGGAACAATTATGGTTATCTCCTAGATATTTCTATCATATTTTTTTGAAACACAGCATTTGTCTCTACAGTACTTGAAAAAATAGTGATTGAAATCTGAACTGTATGCTACCATGATAGACAGTATATCCTGGTTTTGTTTTCTGCTTGGGAAGGAATCAGATTTCAGCTCAAATGGTCATGGTTGTCCCTCTGTGTTTTGTTTCTGGTAGGTTGTTCTACAAACCTGCAGATTAATGATACAGAACAAAAGCCTCCTGAATACATCCTAAATGTTTTCACATGTATATATTTTATAGATATGTAGATTTGCCAGCATAGACTATTTGTAATTTCAGGGTTTTTAGTTGCCTTATAGTTTGGATAAGATTTTTGTGTGTCAGAAAAGAAATGTCTGTCTTTATCATCAGCTGATTTTTTGCAGTAGTGTAAGGCAATTATAAATATGTCTGGTAAAAATAGTCTCCTTTGATTCTTTAGTAGGTGTTGCTTAAATTCATCAGTCTCTTTATATATGTATGTGAATTCAAAGACTGAAGATCGATATGTTTGGGAAACTTAAGAGCTGCTGGAAAGGGGACAGTGGACAGTTACTCAGATTCAGCATAAGTGAGACTGGAGATGCAAACAACTGCATTTAATATTGATAGCGGTACCTAATTTTCTTCTGATGATTTGTGCCATTTCAAAAACATGATTTTAAGGGTGAAGCTTTCTGTGGAGCTTTCAAAATTTTATATTTCACGTTTCTGAAATAATCAAATTACATCTTCTTATACATAACTAGAGAGACTGAGGTGCTTTTCACATGCAGTATTGCACTTAGCACAAAAACAAATGCTAATGTGACTATCAGTACAGGACCAAACTTTATCTGAGATCTGGGGTGTTGCCATGGCAATTCCAATTGTTGGAAAAAAATTCTCTTTTGTGCTTCATTCTGACATTAGATTGCAAAATGATGATTATGAAGAAACATACAACCCAAAAGGAGGGTGTGGGGGGGAAATCTCTTCTTGAAGATATAAAACATACTTTCTATCACATTTACTTTTTCTGAAACGGAGTGTGTGCCCAGATTGTTACAAGCTGTATTTTTTGCAGATTCAGATATATTGTTATTTCTCAAGCTGCCATAATAATACTCAATGTTATTTCTCCCAAATGTAATAATCAGCATAATAAGGAACTCAGAGACATATATCCCATTTCCTATGCAAAATATCAGCTTCTAGTGTATGTTATACTGCTGTTGTGGCCCTTTTGCTTTTAACAATACTGCCTATGTTAGTTGAAGCATATCTAAAATACAGACCTCGCTTAAGGTATTTATATAAATCAGCTCTATAATCTATGTATAATAGAATAGCTCATACTAGCCAATAGATCAGTCATTTCTGTTTAGTTATAAAATTGTTTTTCTACCAATACATCTCACTGTGAGAAAATTGATATGGCTATTACCTGTTCCTTGCTAAATCAATACACAACAAGCTTTAAATAAATCAATAAATAAATAAATACACACTCCTACGCCACCCCCCAAAACACCCCACCAGCTAAACAACAAAACCACACAATACTTCCTAAAAAGAAGCAAATGAAGGAGTGCAGTTAAAATGTGGTTTGCAGTGCAATTCATGCTGAAGTTTATTGTGCATTCTTTTATGTAGGAAATGTGCAAAATGGGAAACGTTTCCAGAAGAGAACTAATTCTTGCAGTGCTGCATTGCTGCTTTATAAATAAATCATTGTCCTTTCTCTATTGATCACTGGAACAGTCCAGTCGAAGAATGCTGACTTAGTGCAGCCCTTCGCAGGATGGCTGGATTGAGAGGAAAAGCCGGGTAAGTGGGACCCAGCAGCAGGGAATTGGGAAAATCCCAGACTGGTTAGAGATCAGGTTTGGTGCATGAAATCCTTGACTTGTCTTTTACCTCCAAAAAAACTGGAAAAAGCAGCTGATTTCTACAAGATATTCTGACTTTCCATAATGTCATTGATCAGGAGAAATTAAATATAAGATGATACTAGTTGTAATAAGTGGATGATGCTGAAAATCCGTGTTTAATGTATTGTGATATATATATTTTTTGAGAACACACAAAAAAAAAGACATTCCAAATTTATTTAATGATCTCAATTATGATATTTATTTGTTAAGAAATAAGGGCTCAAATCTGCCAGAAATATGTTTGAGTTTATAGACTCTCAAAAATAGTACTGCATTCCTGTAAGTTGAGGTGGAATCTGAATTTTATTTGGTTATGACAGATAACCAAGATCACAGCTTGCCAGTCTGACAATTGAATGATGTCTGATGTTTCAGGACTTCTGGTATCAAGCCCCAAGGCTTTTCTGGGAATAGGAGTAGCCTGTTACAATGAGGAGTGAGAAATACTATTTGGGTTTGCATGTCTGACCAATAAGATCTGTATTGGATCTCAGAGGCATATACTTTTTAAAACACGGCTTTCACTGATGCCTGTGGTTGTCATCTATAGCAAGAGTGTATACTCACAATGTTTTTTATCCAGAACATACAGCTAGTTCTAGAATTTAAAGTTCCTATTTTTCATAAAATGAGATTTACTGGTAAATGCAGCGCTCAGCTGATGGCAAGTTAGTCAGGGTCATGGTGATGCATTGCTTTTAGGACACATTGTCATCACATCATTCTTTCTCTGTTTCGCATTAATTACAGATACTTCCAGGATGCAGGTCTGTAAAATGTAATTATTTATTCCAGTGGGTGTTTTATCTCTAGAGCTGCAATCAGAGGCAGCACATGCTGCTGTATGCTCACCGGGGTGCCGTTGGGTGGCTCACAGGAAGCAGAGGGGCTTGCAGAAGCTTTCCCGGCTGCAGCCGAGGCGCGGGCACGGAGCAGAGTAGCTCCGTGCGGGGATGCAGGGGCGGCTCTGGGCTGCGCGCTGCTGCCGCGGGGCCGCCGCATCCGCTCCCTGCTCAACGCCCAGTTGATAGCAACAGTTCTCCCAACTTGAAAGATAAACCTGGACCAAATGGGCTACAGGGAACAATTCTGGAGGTACAGGAAGAGACCACATGTGTCGGTGTTGCTAGCGTGGCAGAAAGCACCTGGCACAGCCCTAGTGTCCATTGGACTGGCAGTGGATGGGCTTTCCCTTTCCTCTCCCAATGTCCAAGTATCAATCGGTTCGTGCCTTCTGCTAGGATGCTAAAGGGCCTGTAATTAACATGAGCATAATAATCCATGTAGTATTTCGTTATAACGAAATAACGCGATCTATTAAACAAACAAAAACCCCGGTGGTGTTTATCATTACTCCTGCGTTTGACCGTCTCCCTCTTCCAGCTGGAGCGGAGCCTGGCCGCTGGCCACTAGATGCCACTGTTGTATAAGGACATGTCGGGCGTAATGCCTTAGACAATGAGTAATTTACTTAGAGAACATGTATGTGTATAATTAGGAGTCATCAATGTCTTTCTTTTAAAATAAAATAAGTTTACCATATCTAATTAGATATTTCTTATAAGATGGATTTCATTCTAATTGGGTAAAGCTATGCTGCTGGTTTAAAATACAGCAAAGGATGTATTTGTATTCACTTTCACAGTTTCCATATTTTTTTAGTCCTTGCAATAAATGTATCTGATTACACCTTTTAAATCGATGTTCTCTCAAACTGGTATGACATAAATGATTGTTCTGTCATTGTGATTTTACTGCCATTGTTTTCAGCGTGTGAGGTTTTCTAGTGATATCTCTCTTAATCTCATTCTGCCTTTCCCTGTCCTCCTGATTGTGATCTTAGATCTGCATATTCTTTCTATCCAAACTGAAGTAATCTATTTAAAGAGCCAACAGTGGCCACCACGGATCACTCTGGCTTGACCATGACAGCACAGGCTTTCCAGCAGCAGAGAGCTCAGTAATCCACAGCTAATGAGCCAGAGCTCCAAAATGTCCGTTGTGCAAGGAGCTTCTTTAAAAGCTCAGATTTCCTGTAGCTGAGTGTTGACAATGGAAGTCTAGATTTTTCAGATGTTGGACTGTATCCAGCCTAGGTAAAATTCAAATTCAATGCTTTTTTTTGCAGGGAAAATACATGCCTTAAAGCTTCAATATGAATTCAGATGGCAGTGGCTAGTCAGTGTGACACCCAGTGTGGGTGAGGCTTGCACCCCTTCCCAAAGCAGTTTCATTAATGCCTGAATTCTCTTCACCAACCTGAGTTCTGGGTTTTCCCACCAAAATTCTGTGTTGCATGCTGACGTCAGAACTTTGCTGGTTTTACAGTTCTTTCAGATCTGTGGGAGTTTTGGTGTGGATGATCTTCCTCAGATCAGCTCTAGTGGCACAAGGCTGCAACACTGACCACTTCCACCTTATGAGTGCTCCCATCTGCCTAGTCCTACCTGTCTGGCATGTGAGCCACTCCTATGTTTCCCAATTATGACTAGAACTTGTCTATTCAATCTTGATGGCATCTTTCAAATTACTTTGAATTATCTCCTGAAAGAAGCTACGCCTGCAACAAAACAGTGGCAAAGTGATTTTAGAGTAATTTTCAGATTGTGGTTTATAACTGTGTTGTACCTCAGAAATAGCTTGTCCCAGTGGGCATGGCTTTCTCTGCTATCCCTATCTCTCATATATCAAATTATGGATTATTATACAAAAGTTGTACCTCTGTCTTATTTATTGAAGTGTTGGTTCACTAAATAAAGGATCTCAACAATGATTTGAGCTGGATGAAAACATGCTTGAAATTTATGTATTTCAGTGAAAGGTTTTCAACAAGCTCTATTTCTGAAGCTAAAGTACTTCAGTTCCCAATGACCAAATTCATTAAAATATAAATTAGCCTAAAGAAACATATGAATCACAATACTATATTTGCATATCATCTATTTGGTGTGCCTCTAACAGTTTCTTCATGTAGACTAACAGCTACTGCAATCTTCACAACCACAGAGTTGAATAAATGACTGTGGGTGAATAAGAAAGCAAAGAGAACAAGGAAGACAATTCTTTCTGCTGAATGGGGAAGAATACTGCAGAATTCTGCAATTGAAATTAAAACCTGTGTTAAACCAGTTTCCTCCACTAAGACATGTCTTAGCTAATCAATTAGCATTGACTGTCTCAGTATTCTAATAATAGGAAAGGATTTAAGGAAATGTCATGTTTCGTTTGTATTTTCAGAACTGTAGATAATTACTGATTACTGCAGAAGAGTGAATATCCTCTAAGAAATAAAGGTGAAGAGGATGGAACGAGAATGTCTTGTCTAAGGGGAGTTAGATGATCCTCCTGCAGTAAGACCTTTGCATCCTCAAAAGGCAGCACCAGAAATTTCTCATAAAGTTTGACCTGTTGTTCTGTAAGTAATATATCCGAGACTCCAATACAGAGTATCTTGTCAGTTCCTTTGAATAAATGAAGCTGAACTGATGCAGCAGCTTGGCTAGTTTCTCTGATCTGTACCCGTTCTCTGCTCTATGCCTTCACATGTATTTCCATGAATTGTTGATACACTTGGCCAGTGAATTTTCTGTGACTTCAAAGCTAAGCCTTTCACTTTGCCTTGTATAAAACATACCCAGAAGCTGGATTCGGAAGAAAATAAGTAGAAGAAAAAAAATATTGATTTTAGATGTTAGGATAATCTAAGAAAAATGGTTCAAAAATAAAAGGGGAGGAGAACCCTGGGTGTTTTTAGTTTTTTTTTAGATTTCTCATTTGTTGCAAATACTTCCCAGAAAATTATTTTGTAGTGAAGTAATTATCTGCATATAAATGTAAACAATAATTGCAAATATTGCATTTGTGACATCCAGAAAGTGCCATAACATTCTTAAGAGATGTTGTTCTACCTCTGTTCTTCATCTTTCCAGGAGAAAGGAGGAAGAAAGGATTGGTTAGTCTTCAAGAATGATGGGCATCAGGTTCATTGTTGGATTTTCTGCAGAGGCTTATGTTTGATATCATAGAGCACAAACTCAATTAGCTCTAATGTAATTTGTTAGCTGTTGTGATGCAACTCAGTGTGTGTCATTGTGCATTGCTCTGATCAAAGAACGTTAGGGTGACAGTCAAAAGAGCCAAATAGTCACAGATTTATGCCCTTTCTAGAAGAGACTAGGACATTTTGAATCTTATAGGAGAATAGACATTTACACTTATAACTTACCTAGAATATCTTTGAAAATATGACCTTTAATACAGTCCCATCTTTCTAAACAGCTGCAGGGTCATCCTAGCATTTCCAGATAAAATTGAAGACAAATAAAATGAGGAACTGCTGTGTTTTCATCAAACTGAGAAAGAATAAATCATAAGATGTGAAAAAAAAAAGTTTCATGACTAAAGCTTTTCAAACAATGCAGTTTATTATAATATCCCATTAGTTCTTCAGTCACATGAGAACACAAAGCATGTAGGTAACCTAAGCATGACTATTGCTGCTCTCTAGGAAAATTGTTCAATAATTCACTGACCTCCCATTGCTTAGGTTTTCTGCCTAAAATATAATCCTCCGTTTTCTTGATAGTGTCAATGTTTTTGTAAGTGGAAGAATTTTTAATATTCAACTTGGTAGCATTTGAAATCATCTTGAAATAGAAAATTTTATGAGAGTTTTATAAACTTCATTTAAACTGAATCCTAGGAAATGTGGAAAAAAAGTATTGCAGATGAGTAATTTTTAAGGAATTGGGAGGAAGAGACACCATTATGTAAAGGAATGTTTAGTATCAAAGCATATAAATAGCTTTAGCTGACAGCAGAACAATAACTTCAAAAGTTAACAAATCATTCTCAAATTTTGATAGAAAAGGAAGTTAGAAAAAGAAAGCTAGATTTATACCATTCTGAAGATAAGAAAGGCTGTTTTAATTGTGATTTTTAAGGATTTTTCAGACATGCTCAACTTTTGATTTCAGTGTTTTTAATCCTGATTTGCACTAATAAAAACTAGGTGCAAATGAGTGCTGATGAGTCTGTATTGAAGTTAAACGAATAGTTGAAAATGTCTATGAATATTCATTTAAATTCAAAAATTAACTCCAAATTGATCATGCCTATGACTTTGTGAATTTGCTTTCTACGAGCATACTTGCACTTGAAATTACCTTTCATGAATATTTGAAAAAGCAAATTTTCAATTAGATATTTCATATACTTGCAGAAAATAATTTTTCAGTGATATATTTAATTGTGAGATTTGGATTTTACATCATGCTGCCTGATATTTGTGATCTGTTCTGTGGGACTGTGTATTTGAAGGCCTCCAGGAAGGCTTTAGTTGGATGGAACACTTTGGAAAACCTTTACCTTGTGAATTACCGTATCCATCAAGAAGCAGAAACAAATGAGAATAAACAATAAAATAAGAAATACTGCAGATTTCCAATTTCCATTTGAGGATTTTTAAAAAAAATATATTGAACTTTGTACTTCAGCATGAAGTGAATCTTAGAGGCCAATTTCTCCTCATTTGTGCTGTCAGGCCATGGTCATGGCCAAGTTCAGTGACTATGTCCAAGCAGAATAACTTTAAGGAAGTGGTTGTTTGGATATTAACCATTGAAGATAAGAGTCATGATAAATTGCAATGGCTGATAGTTTGGGGTAGCTTAGAAAAAGTGGTATACATGCAGTGACTGTCACTGGAGATCCAACATGGGATGTGTAGTTTCAATTAGAAGCTGACTTCACAAAAGAAGTCCTAGATCTAATAAGGTGTTTGTATAGAGCTGTTCTCATGGTATATCCAGTTTAAACATTATCTAGAGCCCGGTGACTTGCAGGAAGAACTGAAGGTGAAAATAATATTCTTACTAAGGGGCACAAGAGAAATTATTGTTTGGCAAGTCTTCCATATCAGGAGGAGAAACCAACACCAGCAAGTGAGAGGAGAGGATGGGGTGTGGGCCTGTTGGCACAGGTATTTTTGTGTTCCTAGGAAGAAGGAGAAGCTGGAAGGATGCTTGACCCCTCCATGGATGCAGTAGGATCAGTTCTGGCCAGAGCTGTGATGTGTGGGGAGGCTCAGAGGAGACGCTGCTAGCAGCCTGCAGGTGACCACGGGACCCCATGGGCCAGCCAGGAAGGTGAGCTCACCCAGCTCAAACAAGGGCAAGGGGTGCTCAGGGGGAGCAGCCTGAGCAAGGCTTGCACCTGGCCTTAGCAGCCCCTGTGCTGCCAATCTCACTGGGGAGGAGAGGTCCTTATCGATAACGGCACTCTAGGAATGCAGTTTTAAATTTCAGTTTAGTTTTTATTTTGTGGCTTCATCCATTGTCGTGCACAGGAGTGTAATCACTTATTTTGCTGGGCTAAATGTGTCCTGGTTTCATCTTTCACCTTGGCAGCTGAACAGAGTATTCCCAATGGCTGATTCAATGCACTTTTTTACTGGTGGAGAAAGGAAATAGACACACACAAGTGTTCCCTCAGAGCAGGGGAGTGGCTTCCCACCTAGTTGCTGGAGCCAGCTTGGGGCAGGTAAGGCAGTGCTGGGTCAGTCTCCCTCATCAGGCACAGCCAGTGCCTCCAACAAGCAGCAGGGGAGGGAGAGATTGTTTATGATGCATAAAGTACCATAAGAGATACCGTACAACTCAAAAGAAATTGAATCAGGTTCTGAAACTGAGACAAACAAATTTTTCAGCATGACCAGCCTTGGCTTCCCAGGATATTGAGTACCTTGAATTCCATGTTCAAATATTTTGCAAGCTAAAATACTGTTTATTGCAAGAAATTTGTGAGTAATTTAAAGCCAGGAATTATTTGGTGAAATTTCTCAGTGATTTTTAGATAATTTAAAAACAAGAAATGTAAGATGAATAAATTATTTTGTTATATTGCATCTTCATCTGTAGTTTGAATAGTGAGAGAGAAATCCGCCCCAGTGCCTAGAAGTCATACTCAAGGATTGGATTTCCTGTGTAAAAGCTATACAGTGTGATAACACAGTTGTACTGCATATTCAGTTTTGATATGTAACCTTTTAAATAAATTGGAATACTCTTTGTGCCTATACTGGCACACACACAGAGATCATAAACAATAATTTTGTAAAGGTCACTTCCTCACTAAGCGCTTGAGCTCATGGCAAGAGCAGCATAGGGCTATTAAAGGACCTTTATGCTTCTATTTTTTGGTGTCTGTTAATATTTTTGCAGCTTTGAAGCTCTGTTTAATATAAAGGTTGTGTCCCATGCCATGAGTCTGTCTGTGCAGGCCTGTGCAGTCAGACCCTGGGCTGCCTCCCTGTGCATTTTAGTAGCAAATGCCTGCTGGCCCTAGGATCTGGGGTTACTCGCAGCCTGGAGCAGCATGCCCGAGGCTGGCAGCATCCTTCCTGCTGGGAATGAGGGGGAACACAGCAAGGTCCAAATGGTGGAGGCTTTTGTGTCAGTAGCACCTCAAGACAAGCAGGTATCGGGAACCTGGGCAATACCTGAGTGCCAGCAGTGACTGAGGGATCTGCACAAGGTGAGAGTTACCAGGTGCTTGCCAGGTTCAGCTACATAGCACATTGCTCAGATTTTCCTGCTGTTGCCCTTCTAAGGTGCTAATGAAGTTGTTAGTTGAATAATTTTTTTTTGGTCCAGTGGAAATTCTCCTTGTCTTGCTTGTCTCCAGCAAAATACTTTGTCTCAGAGGAAATGCTTGGAAATTTATAGTCCCTCCAACCAACATTAAAACCACATATATCTGCTGGTCTTCAGAAACAAAAGCACATTTTGTTACAAACTCCCTTTATACTATACCTGTTGGACTGTTCTTTCCTGTGATTGACAACATGGCCTAAATCAATATTCTTTTATTTTCAGATCTCTATTATTTTGAAGAAATCCACATTTGTCCTGCTGACAATGTAGGGAGAGGTTATTCTTCACTGTAGTGGCATCAGAGGAAACTCTTAGGAGGGTAAGTGGAGTCTATCAGGTGTCATTAAAACAGCCCCAAGTGTGTTGTATTTTCTGGGGGGCAGTAGAGCAGGAGGCTGAGATGGTGCATTTTAACTCTGAGATGTTTTCTTTCCACTGCTGCCTGCTGGTGTAAAGCCACTATGACTCACAGAAGGAACAGGATGTTTGTAAGGTTATTGGCCATACACAGAGGGGTTGTAACTGGAAAACACCACAGTGTGCCTGGAGAAAGGATGCTTGACGTTGCAGGCATGGCCTCTCCAGTTGGCAGAGGTTGGTGCTGCTCACACAGGAGGTGGCTCATCCATCTGCTTGTGGGGACACTCCCACACCTGCTCTGGCACAGCTGGAATTGCCCCAGTCCCAGACACAGCACTATGCAAAGCCAGAGCCAGAGCTGGGGAACAGCCCAGGTACCCTTCCAGCTTCTGCTGCCACCATCCGTGCTGCTGTGGTGTTTATTCAATAACCAGAATTTTGTTTAAAATTATTTCACTTCTGTCTCAGTGAGAAACCCTTGAATGTATGATTCAAAGCTTTGATTTTCTCTTCTGTGGAAGACCTGTGCCTAGCACCTGTCTGTGATCTTGGGGAGGTTACATGCACTCAACAACAGAGTTATGTCAGCCTGAAAGTTTAAATCACTCAGATGTCTCTTATCCTGGAAAATTTCTTCACTCATTCTGAGGGCAAGCTGATAAAAATCCATATTTCGTAGATTTAAAGTATCAATGTTGCTAGCTCCTTCTGCATTAATAGATTGTCTATTTTATGGGGTTCGTAATAACTCACTTAAATTTTAACCAATTCGCATTAATGAATTTTAAGGAAGGTCATAACATTATAAAATTATGTATTTGTACTTATTCCACGTCACTCTACAAACTGTAACTGGTTTTTTCTCAAGCTGATGATTGTAGCTAGCCTTTGGCAGCATTTGTCTGACCTTCCCTAACTTCCCCCACTCCCTGAATCAAAAATTTTTGGTAAGATACTACAAAATCTTCACCAAAAAGGGATGGAACTTCAATCTTGTAATAAGAAATAAAAAAGGTAATTTCCCTTATGATTGATAAGCATAATTTGTAAATGAACCTGCTTTATGGAATGGTGAAAAATGATTGGAGCAGTTAAAAATGAATTGAATATGCAGAAAATAGATTCCCTATAAGAAATAGTATAAATTTGTAAATGCAGAATACAAAATTATTTATAGACGTTGAATGAACGAATTAATTTGGCTGACATTACCTTGCATTTACATAGAAACCAGCTTTCACATTTTCCGTGTAGACCATTTTCTATGTTCTGCTGTGACTGAGGGAAAAACAAAACACATGAGTCCTTTAAGGCAAGAGGAAAACATCCCAAAAGTCATTTTAACTGATTCCAAGAGTTGTGCAGCGGGCAGAGATTCAGGGAATGACAAAGGCACATGCAGAGAGGGAGGCAGCAATGCCAGGGAAACAGCTGGTGTCTGAAAAGCCCTGTTTGCTGTTCCCCTTACTGCTCTGCCCGGAGGCTGGGGTGGAGCCCTTTGCTGATCAGGCCAGGCTCCAGCCAGGGTGCTGGGGGATGCTGGTCTGGAACTCGTGGCTTGGGAGGCCCCAGCCAGCCGGGATCGAGTACGGCAAAACCAGGCCCTAACTCCACACTGCCACGGAGAACTGTAAAACCAGCTTCTTGCTTGACCCCATGGGCTCAGTGGGAGTGACTGTACCAAGGAAAGGTCTCTGGGGTGGGCTTGTTTCAGTTCTGCTAGCATGCTAGACATTGCTCCCACGCTACATGGATACATGTGGGCATGTCTGGGTACTTCTGGTTTTTCTATCACAAGTCTCGGAAGCAAAGTTTTAATCCATGGGCCTTTGTTTCTCTAATTCTTTCTGATCACCCCAAAGCTGTACAGCTGGTGAAGGCCAAAGGTATGTGTTTAATGCACCAGTGCTGCAAACAAACCACAGCATGGTTCTGTCATGTCATGTCATGTCATAACAGCATCCAGCACATTTCTTGTGCAGGAGGATCTAGATGAACATCTCAGAGGATGCAGCTAAATTGCACAAGCAAAGTCCAGCTCCTGAGCCCCATGGAACATCTTGGAACAGCCACAGGCTGGTACAGAGGCCAGGAATGGTGATAGTCTGATTCCTCCTCTTCCCTCTGCATCCTTTCCCATCTTCTTGGTGACAAGTACAAGAAACACCCATTTATTCTTCCTAGATCAAACCGTAGCTAATCCATAATGAGACATGCTGGTATCCTTTCTTGCTACTCAGGCACATAAAACATTCAGCAAGTTTTTCCAGGCTTAAAAACTCGCTGAGTTGAGCCTTGCATAGTGACATTGTGTGACCAAAAGCAAAGTGCAAAAATGCCTGAAATTCAGGGCCTCAATTTAACTCACTTTTGTTGGGACATTTCAGACAGGATAATGACATATGAATCCAAAAGACAATTTTTGTATAAAGAGAATAATAAATGTTTCCATTTATTATCCTTTTTATTCTTTAATTTCTTCCACAAGCATATAAGAAAAAAAATTAACAACTATGCTGTCCTGTTCTGTTTCAACATTGAAAGTAGTAGCAAACTATTTGAAATTGGCCCTTCACAGTAACTGTGGCCACGGGAAGGAAACGATAATGTCAAGGTATTAGGAAGAGAGAAGCAAAAAAATAGGTTGCCCGTTCTCCTTTCTTTCATCTCTTGCACAGTTTGGCAGAGAGTTCGGGAAGGGGCTTTTCGCCTCTTCAGGGAGAGACATAAACTTGGACCACACATTCTCAAACACTGCCAGCTTGTCATTCAGCTCATGCATTCAAGATGTTGCATATTAATAGCACTCCCTGATGACTGGTGGGTAGGGGTCTCTCCACCTATACAAAATAAGCCTCTTGGCACAACAAAGTACAAAAGAGGCCCATACAGGGAAAAAATGCACTTGAGAACTGGTTTGAAGAAACTCTGCACAGATGCTCTTGTGCAGATGCATATTTCAGATGGTTTTTTCCTGATTAGCATGCAGCAAACTCATCTGTTTTGCTGCCTAAAGGAGTCACAGCAGACATGGAGGAACACCTGCATGAGTTCAGTTCTGTCTCCCTGTGAATACGATTTCCACCCTTATTCCATTGCTGTTCTGCATAGCCACTGAGACCCTTTTCAATCCCCCTCTTGGACATGCCTAAGCCAGCAAACACAGGGAGGTACTTTGGGATGGAGACAAAGCACGAACAGTGCAGGGTGCTGCATGTTGAGAAGGGAAGCAGGAATGAGTGGGTGGATTGGTCACACAGGTGCATTGGGGGTGCACTGGGGATGCTCAGACCAGATGGGCTCTGGCGTGGCTGAGACAGGAGGATGAGCTCCCAGGACCTGCGCAAGAGCCTTGTGTTTGTCATCTGCAAATGATCTGACACTTGGCACATCCAGAGTTTCACCTGAGGTCTGGTCATGAGATTGAAGAGAATGAAGCAGGCTGTCTCCCCCCTCCCCTGCAGTGTGCTGGTTACACGTGTCTGCCTTAATTCTCACACTGCACTCTACAGACAGATCCTACACACGCATGGGGAATGAATTTCCTTTGTGCTCTGCTCCATTGTAGTTTACTCCAATGGCAGAAAGCACAGCTTAGTTCTAACCATGTGTTTTGTAAAAATGAGCCTCAGGAGGAGAAACTAGGGAGAGAGCTGCTTATACATGTGTCGGTATCTGATGCAATCCGCAGTGAGCCACGTTTTTCTGGATATTTCAGCATACACTGAGAATGACACATGAGTAGTCCAAGCTATTTTCAGAACTGACAGTTTTCCTTTTCACTCCAACAATTGCTTCTTCAATACACTAGAGTATGCAAAGTGCTTCAATAAACTTTTAATTGGGAGTAGGAGTAACAGTGAAACTAAGTGAAAACTTTAGGCAAAACGAGCTGACCTCAGCTCATACCTGTTTTGTGGGCTTGTTGTTAACTTTTTAAAAGAGGCTGCACACCTTGGCATTTGTCGGTTTCTGGCAAGGCTTTTCAGAATAAGTCCTTTTCAGGAGTCTTGCAACAGTCTATGAATGGTTTTATGGTGTTCTTGACCTAGGAAAGATCCAGCAGAAATCTGCTCTGGTGGGAGCCATGGACTAAAGGTGCCTTGATCAAAGCTCTTAGGTATTTCTCTAAAACAAAATATTCAAAATGTTTGGGATTTTCAGAAAATCTCCTCAGATTCTTACAACAGAAAACAGATTAAAAGCAAAACTCTTCAGATAAATGTGAAATGGATTTTGCTCTAATGGCTCTTTCATACTCTTTGCCTGAAGTTCGCTGGCTGACACCAAGAACGCAAATATGCCAGGGACAGGGTCTCTACTTCTTCTTAAGCTGTCAAAATCAGTTAGGGATCTGAGGCATGGTGGTGTATTTCCTAGGAACTTAATTTCTATTATTCTCCTGACAAAATTAACCAATCTCTTTGGAGCTTGCAAAGTAAGGTGCCTCCCACAGAGCTAATGCTGTGTGCACTACTTGTAGAAAGGTATGCCTAACAAAAGCTGCATTCTGGATGCACTCCAATTATCACTACTATTGTTTAATTTCAGTTCCAGTTCAGCATGTTTAAGATAGTTTCAAAGATAATAATCTCACCAGACAGATACAAAATACAAAATTGAAATTACGTTGCTCAATTATTTTGTTTACTAGTGGTGTTAAACCACTTTTTTTGTCTGAATCATGCAGAAGAGCTGTGATTTTTTTTACCTTTAAGCTCCTCTGAAAATACAGCTTTAGCATCAGTACCTGTTTCTTTCCAGATTACGTTATATGAATGAGTTTGATAGGAGTCACCATGGTGAGGAAAGGATAATGGAATTTCAGGTAAGAGTTCTCCATAATGAATTCATTCCTTACAGCATGTTAACACCCACCCATGGAATTAGGGACCTTTGTAACACAATGCAACAATTTACTAGACATCACAAAACACCAATTATAGAATTGGACTGAAATGAGCTGCCAAATCCTCTGTTCCTGATAAAAGAAGGATAGGTATAGTCATGCCAGCACATTTTAACTCCTTCCTAAAAATTCACTTGGGTCCATTGTGAACATTCTCGGTGATACAGTAGATTGACTGCAGTGCTATGTGTATGACATGAAAGTAAAATAAAATAAAAATGAATAGGTCATGAACAGCAGTGAATATGAACTCAATTTGGATCATATTTATTTAAATAATTACAGCAGATTGTTAACTTTGAGAATCTCCTGATTTATGCAAGGGAAAATGAAAGAGAGTTGGCTTCTATATTGTATATTTAGCTTGATAAAAGGAAGCCAGTCTGCATGGAAGAAGTGTGCAATTGAAGTTCCTCAGCAGATATTTTATAAAGGCACAATTAAATGTCAGTACTTTACAAAGAACTCTTAAATCCTAAGACTGAATCTCGTCTGTTTTTACTGGTAGCACAGTACCAAACTGTAAGCAGAACTGAGCAGGATCTGACTTTCCATCACAGACCGTTAATAATTAAATCAAACATTATATTCAACAATAGAACATATGCATCAGCTTCTTTCAAATTGCATTTCCTTCCTGTTAGATCCATTAGTGTAAACCAGACTGCCTTTAGAAAACCCCTTATTGCTGCTGTCTTTCAGCACAGTTCCTGAAATGGATAATGTGGTGCATATTATGGGCAATTACACAGAACTCCCTAGTGACAGGGTTTTAGAGTTTCAGAATAAAACAGCTGGAACTACAGGGCTGTAAACTAATCGGAAAAAGAGACAATAGTAGCACATTTAATGCACATTGTTAGAACATGGACAAAGACTAGATGTGAAATACTACATATCACTATACCTACTATGTTGCACAGCATCTTCACTGCAAATCCTGTTTAACTCTTGAAAGACAAGGTAGTCAAAAGCCAAAGATTTTGTCATGAACAAGTGCATGCAGAGCTCTATAACCTGAGCTAATTGGAAACATTAGAGGAAGGAGCCTTGATCCAGAGCTGTGGTTTTCTCTTAATGTCAGTGTGGTTTGAATCAAATCCAGAGCTCTATTCAAAAATTATAATTTATTAATGAATGCATAATGAATATATACCTACATATGCTAAAAAACTATGTCTCCACCCCTCTTTTACTGTTTCAATATACTGAGGATTTAGCATTTGTGTTGCAAAAAATGCATTTGCTCTTCAGTATATCTTGGATATTGCCACAATGCATAGCGTTTGATCCTCCATCAGTTTAAATTGATGGCAAAGCTCCCATTAATTTTAGTAATACAGCAGTGGATTTTTAGAATAGCACATGCATCATTTAAAAGCACAATGACCATGATTACATGTGTAATCACAGTAATTGTGCACACAATTACTGGTTGGGTATCTAACCGCCTTTCAAAAATCAGTTGCTCTACTTGCGTGTATACTCACAGTAGTCACTTGTGAAAATGCAGTGCAGCCCAGAGCATGCCCACCTCTGTGCTTGCCCCTGAAATACTGCAGGTGAGGGCTTGTCTCTGGCAGTAGGAATGTAGGATAGAGAAGTATATGTTTACATTGCAGTGATTTGAACCATAAACAAGAAAGGGAGAGAAATAGCTGCAGTGTCTCTTTGGGAAAGTAAAAATGTAAAATTACTTCAACTAATTTTTCAAAAGGACAGAGACTGATTTGCACCAGCTCCTGTCTTGTGAGCCTCCTTATCAGCAGTGTCCAGCAGGCATGGGCATGTTAATGTTTTATAATGGTATGGCAAAATGATAAAATAATATATCATATAACAGCACCATACTACAATATAACAACAACAACAACAAAAAAAACCCCAAAAACAAAAACAAAAAAATCCACCAAAAACCAAACTAATAAAACCACACTGAAAAAAATTTTTCAGCTTAAAAAATTCAGCAAACAATTAAAGTTTCAACATAGTGCAGTGAGTGTCTTAGAATGCAGAACCCAAGAACCAACTGTTGTGGCTCCTTCTAGTTTACAAGGTGTCTCCTTTTGCTTAGAAGGTTGGTTCCTATAGCTGCAGAGGTATGGGAAAACACATCCTCCCTAGACAGGGATAAGACTTCCAGATCCATCCTTTTGCTCAGTAAAATGGTAGCTGGAGAAAGTTTTGCACAAACTATTTTATCCAGTTGTGCCCCACAGTCCTGGCTTCCCTCCTGCCCTGGGCTATGGCGAGTGCGCTTTGCTTTCCCAGTTACAGCTTTGTGATCCCACAGCGGAGGGGAGGGATGGGGGAGCTGGCCAGGCTGGGCCTGTGCTTCTCCCAAGGGAAGGCTGGGCCATGAGCCCCATGAGGGAAAGCAGGTGTCATTAGCAGCCAGAAAGCACCCTCTTCCTGGGGAGGAATGGGTGTGATTCCAGGGGATGGGAGCACCGGAGTTGTGTTGAATGAGAAGTATCTCAGCCTCTCCAGGAGCTCCCCTTGCTGTGCAGTGACAGCCTACAGCACTCACTCTGAGGGACTGGGCAGGACAGGATCCCATGGCTTGTGACAACAGGTCCCCCAGCAGCACTGACCCTATGAGAGAGGCAACTGTCTTTCCAGATTGAGGACTCAAAAATTGGCAATGAATGAAAAATTAACTCTTTCTGAGGCTGCCAGTGCCTGGAGGAAGGCGGCTGGACTGAGAGGCCTTCAGCAGACTACATGTTGTATGTTTACCAAGGAGGAAACCTTGTAAAACGTGCTGGGGCAGATGTAGTGGTTACAAATCACGTGCTGTCTAAATAACATCTGAATATCAAATGTTGTAATGTTTGACAGTATCTGGTTCTCGACTTACCTTGTTTTAGAGGTGGAAATTGTGAGGCTTATCCTCATATGTGGGATTTTAGTCCCATCAGAATTTGGGAGGTTTGGTCCTGGGCTCTGGTGTGCTGAGAAGACAACAAATGTATTCTGTCAGGAAGAAGAGGGAACAGTGGTCAGATGCTTGAAAAACGTTTCTTCTGCTACTGGAAAACTTCACCACCTTTTCCTTCAACAGCATCAGCTTGCAGCTGAGCTCACTGCATGCATGGCTGTGCTCCCTGGATTCTCAGAGCCCATGGCCACAGTGACTTGACATGTTTTCAGAATAGCTTTATGTAAGTTAATCCACATGGCATGTTCTGTTGCCTCTGCACAAATACCCGCTAAATAGTTCTTTAAAACTTAATTGAAGCACCTGATTCCCTTCTTGATTCTCTACAACCATCCTGCTGATTATTGTAGCAGATTCTGTTCTTATTTTCATTACAATAAACATGAAGTAACCTCACTGACATCCAGTCAGAGGGAATTTCAGCTCTCTGCATTGCCTTGGGTCTACAGTCTTGTACACAGGAGCTGTTCAAGTAGATTGAATTCAGCACAGAGCATTAAACGCCATCACTTTTGTAATTAACATTAGAGAGCTATATGAAACCTTGAAGCTATGAAATCCCTGCAGAAAAGTCCTGCAGAAAATATTTCTTTATACAGATCTGAAGTGTTATTTGAACAAATTCACCCTAAAAGATGGAGAATTGCTGGGACATGAAGAACATAAGGCTCTAAGACTGTATATTGGAGAAAAGTTCCCTCAGAAGTGTACATTTAGTCACCTTTGGTGACACATGCTGCCTTGCCTGCCACCTCTGCAAGTGTGGCCTCACTTTCACTGCTATTGCAACATGTGTCAAATGAAATGAAAACAGAGATTTGGGAAAGGATATAATTAACCTACTTGTAAACATTAACCTTAAATATCTTGCTAATTATCTCACTAATTTAATCACTGTAGATCTCAAACTTGTTTGTTAAATATTTAATTCTACAAATTGTTTTTGATACAGAGGTGTGGGGAGCTTTCTGTGAATGTAAGTTACTTTGTAAAACTCTGTAAAACCATTGTTATGTTCACACTTCATTGAACAAACCCTGCTGTCAACAAGACTTTTAATGGAAATCACAAGCAACTGTGCCCTGAGGCGAAGAGATATAGTGCCCTATTATTTTAAAATCTAATGAACACATTGTGTGGAGTGTAGACCAGAAATTTCTTCCTGCACATCTTTGGGTTTGATTCCATGGGAGTCTAAACTAGAAAGCTCTGGGTTTCCTTGTTCCTTTGGTTGCAGTGAAGCAATACAGCTATTTCTTACCTATTCACCTCTTTATTACTTGAATAACTCAGCAAGATTATGTCCTTGATTTTCAGCCCTTTTTATCAAGTCACTACCTTGTGCTACAGGGAACCTAAAAGGTGTTTAGATGCTCCAGTTACAATGCCACCCAAAGTGCCTCAAATTATTCCTGAGAGGAAGCTCTTGAATTTGGTAGTGTTTGTTGAGAAGCTGAAAGCTCTGTTTTTGTTCCTTCCTCCCTGATGGGAAGGGGGCCGTGCTTCTGCTGCCTCCTGCAAACACCCACGGCACAGCCAAGCACTGCAAGGCAGGGCATGGGTGCTGGGGACATCCTGGGTGGAGCGGATGGCTAAGGCAGGACACACTGGGGACATCCAGGATGGAGCGCATGGCTAAGCCAGGACACACTGGGGACATCCAGGATGGAGCGGATGGCTAAGGCAGGACACGCTGAGGACATCCCGGATGGAGCGGATGGCTAAGGCAGGACACGCTGGGGACATCCAGGATGGAGCGGATGGCTAAGGCAGGACACGCTGAGGACATCCAGGATGGAGCGGATGGCTAAGGCAGGACACGCTGGGGACATCCAGGATGGAGCGGATGGCTAAGCCAGGACACGCTCTGGAGGCTGGAGGCACCCCAATCCTCTGTCCCATGGGAAGGCAGGGGCCCTTAGCTGTGCAGTGTCTCCCCTCAGACAGGAGCTTCAGCCAGTCCTGTGTTTCAGGCTGTACCCCCATGGCAGCTCTTTGTCAGTGTTCTCTCCATTTTTGTTATATTTGTCTACTTAATTGAGGAAGCTGGTGGAAGACTGGGACTCACATTGTGTTTTTGCACAGTAATTCTTACAATCAGAGAAGGTGCAAAGGTTTGCGAAATTCAGGTGACAGCTCACAGCAGACCTGTGACAAGAGCCATTTGAAAAGTTAGGTGTCCATATAAATACCTATTTGGGACTATAATACTACCTTATCATATATTATTTAGAATTTCATCCTGATTGTCTGTGGTTATTTATTACACACTTATATACTGGTTAGTTCAATAAAAAAACAAATTTCTGTGAATTTAGCTGAAAAAAGCTCTCTTTGTTCCTGTTAGTTATAGGAAGTCTCATTCTTTCTATGCATTATCTCAATTTCTGGGCATTTTTCCCTTCATTTGCTCCAAAAATTACTTCAGTACTAATGAATACTGAAAGACAGCCAAAACAGGATGAACTTTTGGACAATTTATGCAAACATGACAGATGATAATAGTTTTACTGTAAACATGTCAGGCACAAAAGATTTGACTGCTTTTTAAATACAGTGATAATGGAAGAGATTTATAGATATTTTCAACTGTTCATTAAAGAGAAAAATATTTTGAAACTCTAGGCTGTATCCTTTTATCCATTTTTGCCTTCCAGGCTGAGTTTGCAAACCTTTGATGTTTTCTTCACCAAAAAATAAAATTAGTTATGAAATTATTTCTTCCAAGTACTTTCATTTTTTGTGTCATTTTACTGTTTTTATTACATTCCTGGCAGTCCAAATTATGGTGTTTAGAGAGCATCTAGAGTCCACAGCTCTAAGTTTTCTAAAAATAAGGACTAAGTTCACTTAATGATGCTTTCTGGCTACTGTCTATTTTCTTCTCTAGTAAGAAAAGGTTAATAAAATCACTGAATACTATAACTGCCTGTTAGACCAACCAACCAATTAAAGGTTATTCTATTCTAAATGACTGGAAGATACTTGAATTGATAAAAGTTAACATGAAATAGCTAGTACCTGTTGGATCAGGTTAATAAAAAGCAAAGTCCTAGACATGAAAATCATGTATAAATATGGTTCCTGTAGTTGACCCAGGTATCAATTCTTACAGCCAGACAGGCGAATTCTTAACTGTTTATTGTCAGAGTCTGCTTCTGTGCCCTTACAAATCAATAGTAAGCTTTGCTTTCAACTTCAGTGCGGCTGATGTTGTTGGCAGTCAATGATTTTGCAAGATCAGTTCAAGATACTGGAATGGTTTCAGGGAATTATTGGATTCTTTCTTTCTAAAATAGTGTTAAACTCGTAAGTAGGAATTTAAGGAATTTAAACGTGAAAATATATGCACTTGCACTGCTTCTTTAAACTAGTGTATCTTGCCAAATCTCCTATCAAGTCAAAGCAGTGCACCAAAATGATAGCAGGAAGGATTGTGCAGTGCTCAAACATCTAATCCTGCATACTCACAGTGCTGAGCATGCCCTCATTTTTTTAATAGATGGAGAAAGATGGAGAAAGAGCAGATTTGGATGGAAAATAGCAGTTTTCATTGCAACCTTAGAAGAATATTGGCAATTTTGTAATAGAATGATTTGAGTGTTCTGAGACCCTTCAAAAGAAGGTGGGAATCTTAATAAAGGCTTCATTTTGGAAAAACATATAGCTGAAAGTAGTATTTTACCAATTCTTATTGGAGAAGCATTTTTGGCTTTTGGAAATTAGTTTAAGAGCCACAAACCAACACACATTTATGAATAACATAATGCTGTTGGAGATAATGCAAATGTCTTTATAAATAACGTATTATAGCTTAAATCATTATTTTTAATGCCTCTTTTTTTTTCCCTGTATGAACAGGTCTGTGCTGGTCTGCATTAATTAAATGTAGGTATGTAAGGCCAGATCATCATTACTTCTGTGTCCCTGATTTAAATCTGCAGTAAAACATTTCTCCATTTAGTTTGGTGCTTTTGTGTCATATTTCATACACTAGTTGTCTCTTAATTAAATCCATGATAGCCCACCAACACAGACTATTAAAATAACTATACTTTGCACTTGACATATTTATGAGACAGATTCATAAGAGTATAGACTGATACTTGAACTACTCACTGAGAAATGCTAATAAGATTATGATGAAGGTAAGATTAGAACATTCGTCTCCTTTTCACTTCTCTCTTCTTTATAGGAATTTATTTTTATAACTGCAATTCACTATTTCTATTCCAGGCTCTTTGATGTTGTTGTATATACCAACAGTTCTTTCTGAGTCGATTTATTGTGGCAATGAAGAGTGGGAAACTGCTAATTTATATCATACCAGCAAAGTGCATAACTGTTGTGTTCCTTGAAGTATGAATGTTTGCAGATGTCTGTAAACCTTTGCATGGGACTGACATGTTCAAGATAATACCATTAGATATTACCTTTGGATTTGGGTGATGAACAATATGGATGATGGCGAAGTGCCACGTTGTTTTACTTTTATTATCTTACTCCTTCAACCCTCATGGTGGTGTAGAGCTGGCTGAGTCTGCTCCTGGAGGAGGGAGGAGACAGTGGCATTGTGCCTGTGACCCCTCAGTGACTGTTCCTGTGCCTGTGACCCCTCAGTGCCTGTGCCTGTGCCCTCTCAGTGCCTGTTCCTGTGCCTGTGACCCTTCAGTGCCTGTTTCTGTGCCTGTGACCCCTCAGTGCCTGTCTCTGTGCCTGTGACCCTTCAGTGCCTGTCTCTGTGCCTGTGACCCCTCAGTGCCTGTGCCTGTGACCCCTCAGTGACTGTCTCTGTGCCTGTGACCCCTCAGTGCCTGCGCCTGTGACCCCTCAGCTGTGGCAGATGCAGTGGAGTGTCCTGAGCTGTGCAAGGTGCTCTGGGCAGCTGGACTGTCACTGCAGTGTTGGAAATGGCCTGGCTGTATGGCCTTAGTGGGTAAGGAAAACAGAAATGCAAGCAAACCCACAAATTTAATCACTTGGAAGGCTGTTATACATGCTAAGATTTTATCATTCACCTGTATGGATATCTTGGAATTGCCTTCTTAGCATTATTTACAGACAAAGTTGCTGATATAATTTGTTTATTTTCTTAGTAATTTGGATGTGGAAAGTTCAAGGAACTCCATGTTTGAGAAAAATATTGCTGGAAGTGAAAGTGCTGCTAAATGAAAATCATTGAGGATTTATATAATTTTTTAGGACTGTGATATTCCCGTCTTAGGGACCTTTACTCTCTATTTTTTTTCACATTCTTTCATGGAAGAGCTTCCGCTCATCATTGTGCTGAGGTCCAGGTGTGGGTACCAATGGAAAAGGCTCTAAATAATGCAGCTTGAAAGGAATGTATTTTACAAGTAGAGTCTATAGAATGCCATGTCTACATGATGTTCAGATGTTCAGGAGGATGGATAAATACATTGCTGTGTTTCATCCTGGTATTCTCTGTGAATGCAAAGAAAGCATCAAATTCTGGGATTTCATTTAGAAATAAATACAATATTAGAAAGTAAGAATAATAAAGTTATATTAAATATTTCATCCTCTACAGAAATAAACCAGCTACAGTTCAGGGAGCTTCACTAAACACATTAAATCTAATAAAATTGCCTACACGTACTCCTGACACTAGTAGTAATTAAAATAACTTGTTTCAAAAAACTGATCCTATACATGAATACTTATTGGCAATTATTTCCAAGTTCTTCAAACCAAAGATAAAGTAATTTGATTCACACACAATGTTCTTGTAAACGTGGTTCATACTGGTTTTTATATGCAGCTTAGGACTGTTAATTGCCATTTTGAGCCTCACAGTAAAATAGAGTTCAATATGTCGCTTTTTCTGAAGTATTGAGAAATGTTTGAGAAATGCTTGTCTTAGTCTAATCAACTGTGAATAATTTATTTCTGAGTCCTACTTTTCAGTATAAATGGATCTGACTTTTCTCAGAGCTTCTCAAGTCTAATCAATTTGTTACATTCATTTAATTAAGGAAATCTGTAGCAAACTGTGAAGTCTAAGTACCAACAGGCTTTTTAGTTGTGCAAAATTGGTGTATTTTCATTGTGAATGCAATTGTGATTGTTTACACTGACAGGTAGCCTCTACTAAAGAAATAATTTTTTTTCTACACATATGGGTCAATATGAATAGCATATCAATCGTTTTCTGAACTGCCTCTCTTGTAGTGGACCCACTACCCAGCTTCCCAAATTCACACAGCAGTAGCTTACAGGCAATTCTCATTTCTGGAAGGGTTATGAGTGTTCTTCCATGCCTCAAAAGGGAGGAAGATATAACAGAGGTATAACTGACAAGAGTGGGGATAAGAGACTGACTTTTTAGTCACACGTAAGGATTAAAGCACTGGCACAAGTTTATGGTCAGGATCTGCATGCCACAGAGTCACCCACAAAAGGATGAGCTAAGATGCTGATCCAAAGTCCTGTTTGTGTTTCCCAGCCTTACATAATTTGTTCTCATTTCTCTGAGAAATCAGCACTCTAGGAAAGGAACAGCTCATACAATAAAGGGGTTTGACATCATATATGCATTTGTTTTAAAAAAGACCCTATATTTATTTGCTAATAAATGTTCAGAAGTCCATCATTCCTTTCATATTTATGTGATATGAGGAATATTTTTTATTAGAAATATAGAGAGATGCTGTGGAGATTGACATATTATTTTTTTCTCCTTATCCTCAGACAAACTCTTCAGACTCAGACAAAAAAGTCCTCAACCCTGGTCTAAAATACTGTCCAGTGCTTATGGGTTATAAAATGAAAATCATCAAAGCTGTCCTTGACAGGATGTTTCTTTCCATTAGTTGATTAAAATGGTTTATTGTTGCCTACAGCATTGTTACTTTAAATGTATTTTTTAACAAAGAGCAGATGTGGCCATGTCTTGCGCTGTTTCTCTTTCTGTGGTTTCTGATACAGAAGTGAATCACCCCCTTGGCAGGTCCTCCTGTGGAGAGGGAGAGGGAAAGGTGAGGGGCTCAGCAATGGTCTGGGGTACCAGCTGGGGGGGTTTGTGCAACAGTACTGCAGAAAGTTGGAGGCAAAACATGAAAACTTTGAGCAGCAGGTGCTCAGAGTAGAAGAAAACCCCAAAATCTGGAATTATCTGCCTGCCATCTCTGTATGTTTGCTCTGACAAAGCAAGAAGTGGGTTTTGGCATTTTTTCAGTCTGACAACTCTGATATTTTAGATAGAGTGTGGAAGTGGAGAGTAGCTGATCCTAAAACATTAAACAAGGTTGTACCCCCATGAACTCTCATGTTACACAGAGAACTGAAAAAGTCAAAGTCTTTGAGATGTATGTTAAATTTCTTTGTTTCTTGCCCCCTCCATATTTGATGGGGGAGCTGAAATCTCAATACAAATCCTATTTCCAAATCAAGGGGTCACTTCAAGAAATAGTTATAGAACAGGTACCTTTCCACTCCCTGGCAAAATTTTTCTAAGGCATGTTGTCATCTGATGATAATAAGGTCTTTCACTAGCAAATCTCAAATTATTGGCCATGTGACCTTATATTCAATAAATATTTATTTGAGAATCAAAGGTTAATTAATTTCCATTGTTTCTGTTTTAATTCTATACATGCTTATACTATACAATTAGAGAAAAACATGGACAGCCACAAGTAAATGTTGCTCATACAAAATGTTTCTATTACCCTTTACTTTTAAAACCATTAATAGATTATTAGGAGATATAAACATTGGAGACCATGGATCATATTTGCATGTTAATCAAATCCATGAATTATACATGATTTGCTATGGAGAGTACTAGAAACAATATTCCTCCTTTCTAATAGCTATAAAAGCTGGAGGTTTCCTGGAGCACACATCACATCCCCTCTGCAATACCTTCTAATAGAAAGAAAGAAATCCAGCTTTTCAAAGCAATCTCTCGCTAAATGAAATAGATTTGTTTGTGTTGCTTTGCAACACACAAGTGTGACAGTTCATTTTAAACAAAATAGTTTTAATAATGTCATTACTAATATCTCTTTGGTCATCTCTCTGAAAAATTGTGTTTTAATAGGAATGTTTCATTTTAATAAATGGCAGAAGAGGCAAGCTGCCCTGAGTCAGCAGGAAGTGGATATACACCAGAGAACAGGCTGATTGTGTTAGATTCATCCAGAACATTGAACAGCACACAGACAGTCCAAGAAAAAGCAACTGGCTGTATTCAAATGATTAGTCTTACTGCTATGCTGTAGCACAGATTCACACATTCTTCTATTATTCCTTGACCTTCTGCCAAAAACTCCCACTTCAAGTAATAATTAGAATTAGTGTTTCCAGTGCATGCTTCCATCTTCCTAACAAACAGTAATGAAATGTGGCTTTTACAAAATATGCAGTTAATTAAACTTTTTTTTTTTTTAACATTGTTTGATTAATACAGTTCCCCTTGTGCTAGCCCCTCATTATGCCTCCCTACCTGGGATTGGTGAATTGAAAGAAAAGCACCATCAATAGGATGAGTGAGATTTCAGAATTTTGCACTTTAAAATTGCTTGAGCCTTTAATTTTTTCTTCTTTTTGTTTTGCTTAGATCTTGGAATAAACTGAAAGGACAGCCTTTATTTGTAATCCTGTTTTTTTAAGTTGAGGACAGTATGTGTATTATATAACAACTCTACAAATACCCTCAGTGTGAATTTGAAGAACACATATATCAAGTGCTGCAAGATAACAAGTGGATTTCCAGGCAAGCTTTTTGAAAAGGTGTCTCAGCACTGTATTGCTTAATAACACTATGTAAATAGATATTCTGATTTCATTTTAAAAAATATTATTTCATGCTTTTTAACTGTCTGCCTTAATTATCCAAATGCTGAACAAGTATAGTCTTTTGATTGATGAGAGTTCCACCCCTTTACCCACACCCCTGCAGATATGAGGCTACACAGTTTAGCACCATAAATCACTGTGATTGTAAAACTTAACTACTGTATGATCAGAGATCACATGCAGTGGTAGCCTGGATATGCATTCATCCTTCGTTATGAATGTTTTAGGGCTAAATTTATTCTGGATGTTTGGAGAAATATCTGTTTCTTCACTTAAGAAAGCAATGCATTTTAAATAAGCAATTCTTGCAACAATTGGAAATAATCACAGAAGTCTTCTATTTGCAATCTTCATTAATGTGAGTTATTTCATCACTTTAGGAGAAATCTTTTCAGAGGAAAACAACAATTAAACCCCTCCCCCCAGGCTCTGACAGCTAAGGATCTATGGATCAGCCATTTTAGTAATTAACCACAATTCCTCTGATTTGTGAATTTCCAGATGATGAGGCAGGAAGCAAGCTACATCTTGGAGAAATTGCCCTCAGGAGAGAGGAAAAACTATTGCGAGGTTGACAGCACAACCTTGTACCGGCACAGTTTCCCTTCCCCAGTGGTTCAAGGAGTTCCAAGCACCCTCCTGTAAATCATCAGCTCACATCTATTTATTATCTTCCAGCCCAGTGCACAACACTATCTGTTACACACGGATACCAGCAATATTGCAAGGTGGACTCAAGGGATAAAAGACAGCAAACCCTGCACACCTCCTATGCCTGAGTCACACCCACTATAAAGCCAGGCTCTGTTCATAAAGTGCATGCTGTTGTCAGAAATGAAACAATATGAACTGTTCCAGTTCAGAGTAGAGTTTATGTAGTGTTTCTCCAATATGCTTGATCTTATCATCTTGATAGCTTTGTGTTATTATACAGAGACAAAATTTATCTACATAGTAATGGACAAAATGTCTATGAAAATACTGCTATTCATTTAGTGATTGTTGTTATATTTGGACTAGGCGCCAGCCTCACTCTGTGATGCTTGTCCTGGAATATCAATAAATAAATCATAAAAGCCAATGCTTCAAATATTGAAAAATTCGCACTTCAAACTGTGTTTTGAACTATACTGAGAGCAATGCCTCAGATTGTCCTTTTGCTTTATATGAACAGAGGAAATTCAAAGTAGGAGGAAGTCTCTCCCGGGATTTGGCATAGGGGAGTGCCACAAACCATCAGCCTTCCTGTCTCTGCTGTGCCAACGAAGCCTCTCCTGGGATGTACCACAAGAAGCAGACAGTGTGTCTGGGGAGTTAATGTGGCTTCAGATGAAATTATCTCCTGCAGAATCCATCTTGCCTGTTGTGTGAGTGCATGCAAAGGAGACAGGCAGTGGTGAGGAGCCAGGCCACAGCCGGGCAGGTGAAGCCTCAGAGAAAAGTAGAAGCATCTTCCTACGACTCTGTGAAGTTCTTTGCACCACAGACTTGTGCTGCTGGTGAAAATGGGACATCACGCCTCTTTTTTCTCCTTCTGTCTGGAGCCCAAATTTGGTAAGAGCAAACTCACTAAAGTCCCCACTCTGTTGCCCATTTCACTCCTCACTAGTAACAGATATCTAAATTCTATGGTGTGATTGACAGCATTAAGAGGAGAAATGAGGGCAAATGTCCTTCTGAAAAGTACACTCTAGTTCAAGCACGAGTGTTTGGGCTGATGCCCAAGTTGCAGAATGACTTTCCATGGTTTGCATTGTGCGGGGGACCACTAGGCAGTTCTAATGGTTCTTTTGCTTTAAAAGCACTGAAATTAGCTGAAAGCTAGAAGTAGGAATGGTATTTTGTAGTAATTGTAAATGCAAAGCTAGACAAGCACTGGAAGTCACTCAGGTACATCTATTCAAAGGCCAGAAGAAAAAGCACTGCAGGTATTCAGTGCTTTATCTGATTAGAAAACAGCCTGGCACAGATGTGATTTCTGCTCCATATATCAAGCTATGGCAGGCTTTTGCTGCTTCATTATGAAAGCATGTGAAGTAAAATAGGTTTTGGAACATAAAAAATGACAAATTTGGAAAAATATCTATATGCCAGATGGGTGTAGGAAGAATCCTTGTGACAAATATATTATTAAGGGAATATGCATAAGGAAAGAAACTCTGCCCAGTTCTTCCAGGGATGGACAGGCAGGAAGGTAGCATCTCACTGTGTCTAATGTATTCTCATCTAATCTAAATCTAATTAATTATGTTGCATCACTGACATACAATCCAGGCACTGCACACAACAATGGAAGGCTGCACCGCGGCTTCGGGAGGGCTTGGCGGCGGCTTCGCCCTGGCTGCTTTTGTTCTCCCCGCTCGGGAGCGCAGGTCGGGGTGACGCCATCTCCGCCGGGGCCGGCGAGCGCCGCGGCCGGGCAGGGTGAGCTCATGCCGGCCCCGCCACCCGGCCTGCGCCGAGGCTGCTCTCGGAGCGCTCCCGCACAGCTTCTCCTCGTGTTCCGTGAGGAAACAGGAGCATTTTGGAGGGGCTGTCTCGCTCCACTCTGCTCGCGGAGCCGCGTTGGGTGTCTCGGAGCTGAGTCCTGCGGCGCCCGCGAAGAGCTCCGTGCGCGGCTCCCGGTGCAGGAAGGGCTGCCCCAGCGGGAGCTCGCCCACCTGAGCCTGGGGCACGCGGCGTGTGTGGGACAGCTCAGCACTGCGAGGGCTGGGGACACACGGCGCGGAGAAAAGAGGCTGAGCTGCGGTGCCAGGAGCCTCCCGGGCAGGCAGCAGCGCTGGGGCCGTGCCACAAGCCGGCCGCGGGGCAAGACTGATGAACGGGGTCCCTGCAAACTTCAGCTTTGCACTGTGGGGCCAGCCGGGGCCTCCAGCCCAGACGGGTGGGGCCAGGCACCGGCCTGTAGACCGTTGAGGAAACATCACTGCCTATTCTTGAAAGCAGGCAAGTCAGTGTTTCAGCTTCAGTGTAAATAACACAGACAGACACATTCTGACCGGCCACTCCCATCTGGGCACTGACCGGCTCTGGTGAGGTCTTAGCAGCAACAGAGGAGCTGTGAGGAGGCGCTGCGCACACTGAGGGGGGTTCGGCCTTGGGTTATTCCCTAAGATGGGACACCTGGTCTGGGTGCAAGGTGCAAATGATCTGGCCATGATTAATGCGTTCAGAACTGAAACAGAAATGGAGGTAGGGAGGGTGGTACGGCAATTGTATCATTTGGCTTCACATAATTTGATTTTACTGATGCCTCATCCACTATCTGATTACACTTTTCCTATTTAATCCCAGCCAAACCAGGAGGCTTTTGCTCACAGGCTTTTAGTACTATTTTATTTGGCAGTTATGGAATAAAAGAATTTTAGTATTGCCTTAGAATTTCTCATGACATCTATCACAACCAATCCAGCTCATATGTGGGTGAACTGTGTTTTGATCCAATTATAAAATTCTATTGGAGTCTTGTTACATTCTTATCCCATGTGCATGTTGAAAAATTCAAGAGCAAAAGAAAATTCTGCAAAATGTTTCTCATTTACTGTAGGCTTGGATACACAAAACTGCATCACACAGTCATTTGTGGAGGCTAATAGCAAACTAGAAAAACAACGTATTCTTGAGGAAAAAAAACCCACCCTGTTAATCAGCAGCAAGACTCAGAGGGAGAATAGTACAATCTGTGTATAGATATTACTGGCAATCGTCTTTTGGAGACACAGCCTCACTTTTCTTAATTGTAGCAATGAGAACTTTGTTGATGCTCATCCCAGAAGTTACAATGAAAAAGGATCTGCCAGTCTGAAGACATTTTGGAGGGTGCATAAAAATGACAAATTTGAAAGAACCCAGACACAAAATGACCCAGGTAACACATAGCTAATGTCCCAATGGATTGCAATGAAGATACTTTACACACTCTTAGCATCTCTATAGCAAAAATGTATTATTAAATCAACAGCCCATGCACTATTTGATTACCATGATGGAGAAGTTGATCTAGGATATTTCTGTCTCAACACTTTCACTGTCTTCAGGCGACAAAATATAATAAAAGGAATTAGGTGTCTTCTTGCTCATGGGCTATAGAAAGCCATGCAGAGGCGTAGCTTCACAGACAGAGTGCTGCTCCCAGGAGAGGAAATGCACTTTCTCCAAACCTTTCTGGCTCCATCCTGGTGGAGTCTCTCACACACCTACAATCTGAATCCCCATCCTAAAGCTGGAAGGTGCCAGGAGCAAGCCAGCAGCCTGAGCCAAGCAACAGTGGCAGGGCCAGGGCCAAGTCTGGAGCTCAGACTTCAGCTGGGAGCTGTTCAGCCACATGGAAAGCCAACAGCTCTTTGACTTTCCCAAATGCTGCTTGGAATTCACTCCTTTCGGGATCCTGTGGCTGCCCCCAGGAGCCGAGGCTGGGATGGACCTCTGTGCCTTGCCCAGCTGAGCTGTGCCCTCTGTGTGAACCCCAAGGCAGCAGCAAGGCTGGGCTGGGGTGGGCAGAACATGGGACCCTGCAGGGTGCTGGCCACAGGCACCAGCAGTGGTCACCAAAGCTGAGCCCAAAGCTGAGCTACATGCAAGGATGAGGGGTGCACCTGTGTCCACAAATCATGTTAGGTCGTTCCAAAGGCTGTCTGCTCTTGGTTACATCAGTTTGGCCTCTCTGTGATTCCAGTAGCTTGATAGCCCCCTTTTCCTGATTTCTAGGTTGTTGGTCCCCGTTCTGGAATGCTGTCTGTGTTTCTGTACCCCATGGGAGGCTGATAAATGTGGTACCTCTCCCCATGGCTTCCCCTGGTCACTCTGAGCCCCATCATTAAGCTCTGACACAAAAATCTGTTTAGTCACAGTGGCAGATTGCTTCCATGAAGCGCAGAAATGTAATTTGCCAGTACTTAAGCTACAATATTAAATACTAACATGAAGTTCCTTCCCCTTTTCAGTTCTTTATAGCAAAAAATACTTGGTGTGAAATCTTGTTTCTACAAGGGTCAGTGATAAAATCTGCATCAGTGACAGAGCAGCTTCTGCCCTTCCTATGGTGAGTGGTTTTATTGGTTTTGCATTTAAAGCTGTTCCAATGCATCAGTGCTTTCATTGCCAGTCCAGAGCACTCCTACACTTGCAGAGCTGGTGAAGAGGTCATCTCCATATTCCCCTTGCCCTGGTCGTGTCCCAGGCAGCAGGACGGCCCTGCTGGGGTTTGTTCTGCAGTGGCAATGGCCAGTGGTTCAGCTCTGAGGCAGAGCACACTCCAAGAGCAGCCGTAAGCCAATGCCTCACCTCAGGCTCCAGTCCACTGTAGTTAATCATTAAATAATTCTCCTGGTGATGTTATCCAGTGCTGATAAATTACAGATTTCATTGTTTTGCCTGGAGCAGCTTTAAATTGTGTTAATTTCACTGAAGATTGACACTGGCTTTTGTTTCCTTTTGCTACTGTTTTGTCCTGTAAAGCAACACATATTACAGACTCCAAATCGCTCGTATAATTGGTACAATAGATTTTTTTTCTTATATTTGGAGAAAATTTTAATGAGAGCCTTTGAAATACCAAGAACTTTGAGATCAATAAAATACTAATGATAGTGTATTAGAAGAAGAATGTTACCACAAATCAAATAGCTTTTAAAACAACCTTATTGTTGACCATGTTTGTTTTACATGTGATCTCAGAATGATTTCTAATTTTATACAGCAGTGAATTTATTCCACCTACAATACACGTTTCTGACACAGGGTTTTCTCAAAAACTGAAGATAAAATACATTATACATCTTCCTGATGAGCAAACTCTCATCGGTCTGATTCTCTCCTTTGGCAAAGGAAAAAATATCCCCAGGTAGTCCTACTCTTTTCAGGCAGAAGAAAAAGGCTGTTTTAAGTTAGTGGGATCTTGATCTGTTCTTTGATGACAAATTCCACCTATTTTGGAGCAATTAACATAACAGTTCAGTGGGTATTGAATAAAGCATACGAAAAATTTTGGAGCTATAATTTACAACTAAAAAAATTTATATTAAATAACTTCTGTACCAGCAACAATGTGACACAATACAGTAGACTGTTGTGGT